AATATATAATAATATANATATATATATAAAAACACACACACACACATATATATATATATATACACACACACATATATATATATATATATATAATATATGCATACGCATATACATATACATATATATAATACATATTGCATATACATATACATATTATAATATCTTAAAAAATATATTATCTCAACTGCTATATACTTACTTAGGCGGAACACCCAAACTTTCCGCGTCGGCCCATCGGTGACGTACAATCTGTTCTCGTATATCATCAATCCCTGTATGATACGCAGACGCAGCACATATCAGATGCAAGTGGGAACCGTCACGTCAGGCTGTGCTGGCAGAGGCGTGTCTATTGCGTACAAATGCACACAGACAACACTAACACACAACAGTCCAAATCAAATACACTCCGGACGAGACGCCGTGACACACAATATCAGCCACACACCTTAGGCCCCTGCAGGCGTTGACTGAACATACTCACGCGGTGGTTCTCATGCGTAATGCTGTATAGATACCGCCCCTCTCCCGAGAACACCTGCACGCGCTTGTTGGTGGTATCCGCGACGAATACCCGCCCGTCGTGGTGCACAAACACCCCGCTAGGCCTATTAAATTGACCAGTTTCTGAGCCCAAGCCCCCTATTTCGCGGACTAGCATATCCCCGCGGTACACTTGCACCACGTGCAGCTGGCTATCGCTGACGTAGAGTGTTCCTTTGTTGTCCACGTGTACGGCCTGGAGGCGTGTGGCATAGGATGGTGTGGGAGTGTATATAGATGGGCTGTGTCAGTATATATTTATATCGATTGATGCGAGTGGATGAGGTTTTAGGGTTTAGGGTTGAGGGAATAGAGAGTATATAGTACAATTGCATTGCTCAGTAGTCAATTAACCAGTAGCACTAAGTTTAAACATCCGAATGTGAACAGTTTGGATCGCAGTGGCAGCTATAGAAGATATATATCTCGTCCTATCAGCCAAGGAACCTTAAGAGAACACCTATCAGTACTAAACAATTAAACAGTAATGCGCGGGCTATTGCTCGACTCACCTGCGGACACTTCATTCTCCCGTGACCCAGCCTGTCCGCACGCACCACTATATTGTCGTTTAATGTCAGCAATTTGAGACATTTGTTATCTCTGTCGCAAATTACCAATCGCCCACGACAGTCGAATGTGATGCCCTGAGGGTATCTCAAATCGTCTACGTCTGATCCAAAACTCCCCACTTCACCCAACATCCGCCCTAGAGGGTGTGTCAGCGTACATGCGGTGCGTAAATGGATTGCTTAATATGCACACACACACCCACACCCACACACCACACCCACCCACACACCCACACACACACATACGCGCGCGCGCACACACACACACCTACACCCATACACATACAAAATACCACACACACACCCACACAAACACCCACACAAACACACACACAAACACGCACATACATACACATACACCACACCCACCCACGCGCGCGCGTGTTTACATATATGATCATATATTCCGAATAATTGATATGCACCGGTAGATGTGTAGCCATGGTGCTTCGAATGGCTCCCCACTCGTAAGGTGTTCATGGCCGAGTCCCAGGGACACACCTCTATATTCACATGTACAGGCGCATGTAGGTGCAGTTGAATGGCACCTACACATGTTTATGTTTCTATACACACATATGGAGGTGTAGTCACGGTGCTCTGAAATACTTCCTACGCGCGAGATGCTCATAGCCAATCCTACAGTGCCGAACTTCAAGAACGCATACAGCAACATAACACACATCTACATCTCCATTGCGCATGCGCATACAGACGAAGTGAAATGGCACATGCACATGCACATGCTTACACATCCATACACACCTATGGAGGTGTAGCCACGGTGCTCAGTAATGCTGCCCACTCGCGAGATGCTCATAGCCAGCCCTACAGTGTCGAACTCCAGGAACACACTGCCTTGGTCTGGGGGTCGGATGGACTGTCGGCCCAGTTCGGTACTTGTTTCCGTTAGGGTGCGCATGATCTTTGCCTTCCCGTCCTGTATTTGGCGTGTGATGATTGACATGCGTCAGACTTCAGCGGTATTATCGCCGAAGATGAAGGAATTGTTGATATATGTAGTTATTTGCATGATGCGTCAGACTTCAGCGGTATTATCGCCGAAGATAAAGGAGTTGTATTTGCATGATGCGACAGACTTCAGCGGTATTACCGCCGAAGATAAAGGAATTGTTCATGTATGTAGTTATTTGCATGATGCGTCAGAATTCAGCGGTATTATCGCCGAAGATATAGGAATTATTTTTGTATGTAGTTATTTGCATGATGCGTCAGACTTCAGCGGTCTTATCGCCGAAGATAAAGGAATTGTTATGTATATAATTACTTGCATGATGCCGTGAACGAGTGAGCGAGCATTACTTACTCCTCCTGCGATGGATTCCCAACTGAGGACACGTTGTAAATAGGCGTACTGACTGCGAAACATTAGGGAGGGGGTTCAGATCTACTGGCGTGTGGATGAAAGTATTTTGTTATGCATTTATGCATATCCTTACCAATATGTAGCTATATTGGATATATATATA